TGTGTTTCTCTGAAGTGATAAGCCGTTGCACATGGCCGACCACCCACACAGCATGCAGAGAAATCATCCGTATCTCCGTAGAGCAAATTGAACCAGATCAACTACAGCTGCTTGTAACACTTTGCATGTTTTGTGCTGTGCATCAGGTACATGGAGTACTTCCCTCTGCCCTCCAACACCAGTTCAGACTACTACTTTGAGAAGAGTGCCAACTACTTTGACTCTGAGGTGGCTGCTCAGAGGGCTGCGGCTCTTCTGCCCAAAGCCAAGATCATCACCATTCTCATCAACCCAGCAGACAGGGCCTACTCTTGGTACCAGGTGAGAGCGATAAAATGGTAATTATCTGAATGAGCACCTTTTTTTAAAGATAATATATTTTAGAGACTCATTTGCTCATTTCTCTGCCTACCCCGCAGCACCAAAGAGCCCATGATGACCCGGTGGCGTTAAAATACTCCTTCCACGATGTCATCACGGCAGGCCACGATTCTCCGGTCAGACTACGGGTCCTCCAGAATCGCTGTCTGGTTCCAGGCTGGTACGCAGTCCACCTGGAGCGCTGGCTAAACTTTTACCACTCCAGCCAGGTAAAGTGTGTGCATTCATTCACAAAGTGATGGGCAGCATGCAGCGAATCTACCAACAACAGGGTTACATTTCTCAGACCTACAAAGTTGTCTCAAGTCACGACTGCAAGACCATTCCCCTCTGAGTAAATCACACGTTATGCAGGTTTTTTTTTTCTTGAGACAAGGTTTGGGGGTTTGAGGGCTTGTTTACTTTGAAAAGTCCTTACAGGCTGTAAGAGCGCTGAGAACAAATCTGTCAGCTAATATGACAGTCTTCATTTCTGTTATGAAACAATCAATCTCAGTTCTAGCAGAGTGTCAGAAAAATAGATAAATAAATGCCCCTTCAGGCTATTTTTTGACATGAATGACAATTGGTACTGTGCGTGTCCTCCCCAGTTGTTGGTCCTGGATGGGCAAATGTTGAAGACTGAGCCTGCTTCCATCATGGATAAAATCCAGAAATATTTGGGCCTGGCCAACGTCATCAACTACCACAAGATCCTAGCGTGAGTATCTTCCTGTACTGAAATCTTTCACTCTCTAAGTTCCTGATTGATTCTTACAGTGACTCATAATTTGAGAATCCACAGGCCATATGAGTTTTTTTTCACAGCTTACATACACCATTCTCTTTTCACCACATGTCATGGTGACCAAACTGGTTTCAAACTAGTAGGTTTATGTTACATGTAGTGTACTCATTCTGCTAGAGTAGGAGTGGAAGTTTCTGTTTGTTTTGTTGAAGAAACCAACTATTGTAAAATCTTAAATCTTATTGGTTTTTTGCTTTTCCCTTTTTAAATAGTTTATTGCTCTTTGGTTAAAAATTTGTGTACCGTTGTTGCATGTTCCCCTAGATTCCTGCCAGCTTCCTGCAGGCACTATTGGATTCCCATTCATGTACCACATGTTCCAAACTGACAATAAAGCCCACTTGAATCCTCTGTATCCCTCAAGTACTCTGTTATTTACAATCAATTTGTGTATATGTCTATTATTTACAGGTTTGACCCTAAGAAAGGCTTCTGGTGTCAGCTGCTGGAGGGAGGAAAGACCAAGTGTTTGGGAAAGAGTAAAGGGCGCAGGTACCCTGACATGAACACTGAGGTAAGATCAGACCGACTTGTGCTTTTAGAAACTGCTGACATTTTATTGACTGTTGTTTTATTTCTGTTTTGTGTTGTTGTGCATTTTCAACGAACATTTTTAATTTCCTGCAGTCCCAGGGGTTCCTCAGGGATTACTACAGGGATCACAACATTGAGCTGTCCAAGCTGCTCTACAGGATGGGTCAGCCGCTGCCCAGCTGGCTCAGAGAGGAGCTGGTCCACACCAGGTAGCAGCACCACAGGGGGAGATCAGAGCTCCATGTAATGAACCTCCGCTCAGCCTGCTGGGAGACACTGACACGTTGAAGATCCCTTGCAGTTTTTACAGAGTTTAAACCTAACTGTGATCTTCCCACACAAACAAGACAACAGTGGATGGTGATGTCAGTAGCTCCCTGGGCTTTCAGATGCTGTCACTCCCCTGCAGGACAAACCAGGACCACAATGATGGCCTCCACTGTGTCCTGTGGAAGAAGGAAAAGGCTCAGTGATGCACTGCAGCATCCCTCAGTGTTTGATAATCAGCCTTTGCTCTCCTTGATTCAATCTCATCTTCTTTGCATGGATTTCATCTTGAAAATCAAAGAGGAAGAACAATTTGGAGACACAGGCGGAGTAGAAGAACACATGACCTGAGTCTCCACGTATGAGATGTGCTGTTTGGATTAAAAACAAGCATTTACATTGACTACATTGACGGCAGCATGGTTGACAGAGAGACATTGGCTTTAGATGCCTTTGATTTAAGTAGAGAACGAGACATCTGGAGTCTTGACTCAGGCTGCATGTCGTAGCCTTACTCAATAAGCCTTGGTAGAATCTAGTTATTGCATTTACAAGTGCCAGGACAGAATCTTCATTTAAAATATCACCACAGGGACTTTTGAGGGTTCTTCTTTTTTTCATTTCTTTTTCTTTTTTTTTTTTTTCATTTTCCTTACTCAGATTGTTTTTAACGTTTTTATAATGCTGATGGCAATGCATTAATGTAGAATGTACCAAAACTAAACATCTTAGCTAATTTTTCTCATATAAAAAAAGGTGTACAGTAGACCTGCTTTGTGATTCTCGACCTGCTCGGCCTCCTCTATGGTCAGTTTCATGACCATCCAACTGGCTGAAGCAGGAACTGTAGAAAAGACGTTGAAAGCACAATATTTAAGGCACTCAAGCGAGCATTAATTCTGAACATACAGGTTACTGGAAAGCACACTACCGACATGGATCCTACTACAATCTGTGAAGAAGATCATAAGCTAGCTACTGTATGTTCAACTGAACACTCTGGTCTGTGAGAATCAAAGTGTACAGGACAAGATTGTGCATTTCAAATAATTTTTCACCATTGGGTTATCTTGTTTTTTTGTTTTTTTTGTCAAAACTGTATATTTTGTCTTATATTTTGTTTAATTTCAGTTACAAGTTGAGTTCTTGGTGGGGAGGGGGGATAAAGGCTGTCTCTGGGGTGAAAAATGAGGTTGCCAGGAAAACCAACGGTAGGCCCGGAGAGAGCATCCAGACGTCAAGGTGTTATCACTGCAACTAGATGTCAGGCATAGATAACAAAAAGCTGCTCTTACTGCAATAGTTTTGTACAATGTTCTGATGTAATAACAATGCACATGTTGGTCCTCTTATTTCCTGACTTTGTAATGTACATAAAACGCAACCTTCAGTAGACCTAAATTATTGAATGTGTTTGGGTTTACACTCTCCATCGGCCCATTCCTGTAGTGTGAAATGTCAGTGCTGTGCTGAGGGGAGTTTGGATCAGTTCATTGTGCGGAGGTGTGTCGCTACGATTGTTTTTCCTCTCACTGCCAACTATTGTACACAGGTACTGAGTCTCTCCATATAAAGTATTAAGTGATAACACATAACAGCAATGATGGTACTAATCTCCTGGACTGTATGATAAAGATTTGTAATTGTTGTCAATAATTTTTACAGTGTAACTAATATTGTCGGTGCTTTTTAATTTGCAAATAAAACACCACTGTATTTTTCAGTAGATGGATTCTTTTTTCCCTCCTTTATAAGTAGACTTGGTTGTTTGTTTCATTTACTTTTGTGTCTCTTTAAAGAGTCAAAGCGTGTTGAGGGTTTTAGTGCAGTGCAGAGATTTCTGTAAAATCTTTGTTTGCCTTTTAAAGAAGTGAGAAAAAAGATGGTTTGTACTTTTGGTTTCACTTCAGGTATTGTTCTGTTTCGATAAATTTAGTAAAGTTAGATGTGTTTTACTTTGCTTCAAAAGAAACATGAAGTACTGAAGATCAGAAAAATTACTATATTTATGCACACACAGACGGAGCCAAGGCCATTTGCCCTGAAGAGTTAAACAACAAGAGTGTGTTTTCCTGGCATTACAGCTTCCTTAAGGGGTGCTTTTATTTCTCATGATTTAAGGAATGTGACCAGTCAGACACGTGTTGCACTTAAAAATGTTATTATACAAAAGCAGTTTCCCTAGATCAGATACTTTTTATCTGTGTCTTGTCTTTTAGTTCAGCTCAACACTGGCACACAATAAATATCCCATTACATACAGGAGGGTCATGTCAAAAGGTTTAAAAAGTGACACCTGAGCAGATCTCCTGACCCATTGTTGTCCAGATTTCTCTTTTACTTTATTAAGGAACACTGCGTCATACCAAGCTAAAGAGTACAGTTCTGTATCTGTGCTGGTTCATATACTTACACATCTGCTGTTCTCTGTATTTAGTTATAAAACAAATGAACAAGAACAGACAAAAAATGTGTTTTTAATGTAACTCATATTGTAATGTTACCAAACCCTTGTGTCATCTTTACTTAAATACCTTTTTCTAGAGAAGCACTTATTCTCTGTCCTTCCTGAAAGAGAGCTAAACTGAAACTAGGTTTATAAATAATTTAAATACAATTATTTGTTTGGATGAATGATCATTTAAATGCAAGGAGTAAAGAGTAAAACTATGTTGCTTTTTGCCTAAAGTCTATTTTCGTTGTGCAGCACTTTGCAAAGGTTAAGTAAACACGGTAAATATCCTTATTTGACTTGTTAGTTTATTCCTAGTATATATATTGGCCTAGTAGATTAAATAATGCCCATTAGAAGAAGGCTCATAAACAAACAAAAAGTAAAAAGACAATTTGAGCTCAGAGTTGGCTTAAACAAATGCTATTAACGTGCTGTAAAACAAGTTTGAGTACCAAACTTCTCCTGTTGTCTTCTCCTGTGAACAAGTGATGGTGCTAAAATCTGACCAATCACAGCTCGCAGCGAGTTTTCTTAACTCCTCCACTGGCTAGACCCTTGCTTTTAACTCAGGGATTCCCCGCAGTCTCTCATCTTTCTGAGGAATCAGTCTGCTTAAACTTCCTTGTTTTTTCGGAACATTAATCTGACTGATTTGCCGGACTTTCTCCAGTTTGTCGCTTTGAGGAGAAACATTCAGGACAGATGGACAACTCTCCAGAAGAAGCTCCCCTGGCCAGAGGAAGTCTGGCCGGCAGTGAAGAAGCCCTGGTTCTCCCTGCAGCACCCACCAGGTGAGAGAGGACACTAGTCTACTATAGAAACTCAAAGTCGTATCAACAGATGTTTGATACATTTTAGCTCAAACTTTTGCATTTACATATAGGCCTACTCTCACTTTAAAATCTGTGCTAATAAAGTTCCTCTTTATAGAAGTTCCCTTTTGGTACATGAATTAGGCTTATATACTAAACCTGAAGATTTGTTTTATTATAACTGCATTTAAAGTCAACAGCTATGATGCATAAATAACATAGCCTAGTTGTTTAAAGTAAGCTCACATCTTGTGGTTGTTAAATAGGATGGGTAAAGGGTTTGGCTACTTTTATTTTTTTTTCTTGCTGTACAATAATTTGTTTTATTATTTATTTTTTTCATAGCTTATAAACCATTGTTAACTAATGCTTAATAACCTTTGATGGGACACTTGCCTTTGCCTAAGCAGAAGGAGTTCGCCTGGTTACAGGTGATACTTTTCGTTTGTAATAAAATACAGAGAAAAACATTGTCGAATATAAATATTTATATGGTTTCACAGTTTTAAAATGTATAATGTAGGGGCGCTGGTGGCGCAGTGGTTAGTTTTTTTTTTTTTTTTTTTTTTAAATGTCTAATGTAGGAGATGAAAAGTTTTTTTTGTTGGAATGGTATTTTGTGGCTTTCTACCAGTTTAAAAACTATTATTTACTTAACAAAAACAGAAAAAAACAGAAAAAGTAAAGGAAGATGTACTTCCCCACATCGGGGGAAAAAGTCTGCCTGGTAACAAGTGATACTCGCACTAGTAACAAGTGATACTCGCACACTATTGGCTGATTATATATAAAGGGTCATCTTTATTTTGTGTCAGAATTTTGATGCATATATTGTTGAATTTTTTGTATTATTACTTTTATTAAATTACAAGTACAATATCAAGGTTGTTGGTTATCTTTTTGAAGAATGTACCACTGTTAATAAGTGTGAATTTGGCTTTGCCATGTAATCCCCTTTCCCAGTTATCATGTTCAATAGACACTTTTTTTTTTTTAAATTACTCTGTCTGTTAGGACCTCCAACAGTCGGGCTTTAAAGATTGCTGCCCTGACCACCCTGGCATGTCTCCTGCTGGCCAGTCAGGTCTTCACCGCCTACATGGTGTTCAGCCAGAAAGAGCAGATCCACACACTGCAGAAGTCCTCTGAGAAAATGGGAAGACAACTGACCCGCTCATCCAATGGTAATAACAAATGGTTTTCGACTGAACTGACTTCAAGGGGAAGTGAGATTGCTTCTTCTTCCTGCTGATTCAAAACTTCCTCTTCTTATGTTTTAGTTTTAGGTAGACTACTGATTTTTTTGTGATTTTATTTTTGTGATTTTATTTCACCTGTGGAACTTCAAAGCTTATTTATGTAATAACTGAATTTAAACGAGGTACTTCAAAATGTGATGTTTTCAGAAGTTCTTTTCTATGTTCTACTTTTCCAACATTTTAATTTTTCGTTTGAATTTTCCTTTGTGTGTTTGTTTTTTCTTTAAGTTGCGTCTCCGATGAAACTGAACATGCCCATGAAAAGCCTCCCTCTGATGATGAACTACATCTCGGATGATGCACCCAAGACGCCCTTGACTGTAGGTTTTAACCTGCCTCTTTGGAAAAAAAAACACATTTACTTCTTAAACATGTCCTGGATGATGTTAAATGAAATCAACATTAAGAAATGTTTTTTTTCTGTTCCCTCTGAATAGAAGCTGCAGGACGCTGTAGTCAGTGTGGAGAAACAGGTGAAAGAGCTCATGCAGGTATGTAATAATTGGCATACTTTTAGTTCTGATGGTGGTGATATTATTTTGTCTCTAAGCTCTGGTTGTGTTTTGAGCAGGACTCTCCACTGCCTCAGTTTAATGAGACCTTCCTGACCAACCTGCACGGCTTGAAGAAGCAGATGAATGAGAGCGAGTGGACGGTACAACATAACAAACATTAACATGAAAAGTTTCAAATTAAATAGGAAAAAGGTGATATTAGAATATTAATTTTGGTCAAACTTTTTGCTCTGTGCAGAGCTTCGAGTCTTGGATGCGTTATTGGTTGATCTTCCAGATGGCCCAGCAGAAGCCTGTTGCTCCAACTGCTCAGACAGGTTATTTAAACTTATTTATTTTTACATTTTTGTATTTAACTGATGTTCTTATTCTGACATATGCTTGACCGGAACATGCCGTTTTTTTCTACAGTTCAAGTAGGAGATTTAAAGTTGGGCTGTGATATTTTACTTTGAACATATTGATGTGAGAGAAATAGTGGCTCTCAGTAGTTACTTGCTCCTGTGACTTCTTCAAATTAACTTATTATATTATATTTTGAGAAAGATGCATGTGTCCTTTTTGGCAGATAGTTACTATGGCATTGATTCTTTTTACTTAGGAACAGTCTAGTACTCAGCACTAACCAGTGTCTCAATGATCTCTTCTCTTTATTCCCTCAGCGCCTTTGATCAGTACCAAATGCCAGTTGGAGTCAGCAGGTAAGACCAGCAAGCTTGGTGACTTCCGTCCCCAGTGTGACGAGCAGGGCAAATACAAGCCCATGCAGTGCTGGTTTGCCACTGGCTACTGCTGGTGTGTGGATGACTCTGGCAGAGCCATCGAGGGCACCACAGTGAGAGGCCGTGCCGACTGTCAGAAAGGTAGAACACTGAGATTAGCAGACTTGTGATTTATGGCTGCATCTACGTTTTTAATTCAATGGTCAAATGGATGACAGAGAACTAACCTGCTTCATATTTTATGTCCACTTCAGGCTATGCTCCTCGTCGAGCCATGATGTCACCTCTGCTGATGCAGAAGACCATCAGCGTAGATGGTGAGTGACTCAATTTAGGTTTTGTATTTTTTGATGTTTTTTTTTTTTGTTTTTTGCACAGACGATCACCTGATGTGTTTTTTGTGTGTTTTTACAGATGAGTGAAACAGCTGAAGCAACATGCTTTCATCAAGCAATCTCTGCAGACATGAGAATAAGTTCTCTTACGCTGGATGCTGACCAATTAGCTGTAATTGTTTTGTCATGATCAGTTATTAATCCATGTAACTGCTTGATTTTAAACCTTTTTGCTGGCTTTAAGGAATCAAATCAATAGAGGACTGTTACAGTGTATCGCTAATCTTTTTTTTTTTCACATATAACTGAGTAGATTTTGGGTGTTGTCATTGACATTGTAATCAGAAAAAAACATATAATCAAGCTAATGTTAAAATGTGTGAGACACACATCATTGGGGTTTGTTTTTCAGCTTTTTTTTAGTAGCACAAAAACTCACAGAGATGTTCAGGGTTAGTCAGAGTAATGGGTGCAGCTTTCTTGAAACAGATTTAGCTGTTTCATTTTTTTTAGATATAGTGATTGTTGTGATTTTGAACCACAGACTAAAACCTAATTTAAGGTAAAATATTTCTTTTTTTAATTTCTGTGAATCAGCCTTTTAAAGTGAATATACGAGGAAAATACTTTTGATGAATAGAAGATCCAGACAGTTTACTTTAAATAAAAATCTTCATAACTTCAATAAACGAGTTCCAAAAGGATTTGTGAGTTTCTCTTAGTAATTATCTAATCTTAACGTCTCGTCTCTTTCCTGCATCATGAACATTTCTGATAAGACAAGGCAGTACGTTTCGTCTTGCTGAAAGAGGAAGGAATAGAACACAGTTAACTAACCATCACTCACATTATTGACTAAAGTGTTTAGTGTTTTTTTTTTTTTAATCAAACCACTTTTTCCATATCACCATATTTCATCATAAACTTGAAGCATTTTCATTGGAAAATAGATCAACCTTTAACTAGTTTTAAAATCACCTCTTTTCTCATCCATATTCTGTGATCATCTTAAGGGAGGGACTGAGACTACAAACTAAGGCTAAACTGGTGCTCAATCCAGTCTAAATTTAGGCAAAGCATAAAGAAGTAGCTATGTAACACTTTTCTGTTGAAAAGCTTTGTTTAGTAACTCATTCAAAATGTGCTAAAATTCAAGAGGTACATTTGGAGCCATCTGGACAGTTGTTTAATTGCTTAACTTCCTTAGAAAGAACAGTGTTTCCCCTACTATCATATTATTTAAAGATTTGTTTTTGGTCTTTTTTTTGCCTTTATTGTAGGGATAGGATAGTGGATAGAGTCCGTAATCAGGTAAAGAAGTCATTTCAGGATACCTTTCCGATAGAAAAGGACAGCTGTCATTAAAAGTAACGCATGAACACCAACATTCCTTCAAGTGTGTGTCGGTGTATCGGTGTGTCCCCCCCCCCCCAACGCTGTAAACCTAGGGGAAACACTGAAGAAGGAAGGGAGGTCAGTTGATCCACTGTCCACTCACTGGTGTACAGAGAAAGGACAGCTGCACCAAAGCAAAAACCTATGTTGCTTTTGTAACAGACTTTATATCGTTATTCCACTTCTATACTGTGATGTTTCTGTTGGTATGTGGCTCAGGGTCGCCTTCCCTCAGGTGTACGACATAGGGCCTTCACTCAATGGGCCATAATGCTTGCTAGTGTATGAGAAACATGCCAGAGGTGAGTTGCTGTGTGCAGCGCTGTGTACAGATATTGTGTTTTAATGTCTGTGTATACTTCATGGACTCATAAATACACTGTTATGCCCCATCTAGGAGACGCAATGACACGGCAATTCCCAAGTAGCCATTGAGACTATTTAACTTTTTCACCAAGACCTAACATACACCTGACCTGTACATCAACACATTAGTGAACATAAGTATAAATAAGAACAAGCTTCAGGGTGAATCTGTGCCAAACATTACAAACCAGTCTAACTGATAATGAACCAAACTAACCTGATAAATCAATGGAAAAAAAATACAACAACTTACGTCCCTATAATAACCAAAACATGACAATTAAACCCTACCAAAAATACTAACGCAAAACGAGCTAAGAAACAAAGGAAAACGTGGCGTGTACCAGTTGAAAGGTCAACGTTACTCATGAAAATGTGAGTCAGGTTGGGGTTCTGTGAGTGTATTGGTTTGTGCAGGCGCCCCATGTATGGTGGTTTCTCCTCCAAGCGGGGCGGCCCGGGTTTAAATCTGATCTGTGGCTTCTTTACTGCATGTCGTTCCCCACTCTCCCTCTCCTTGATTCCTGACTATCCACTGTCCTATCTCTACAATAAAGGAACAAAAATAAATCTTGAAAAAAAAAGGTCTGGGGTCAACTTTTTTGAGACTGGACTGGTGAGGACTTACGATAGAAGGTCTTGCAAGGACTCATTTGAGCTGATTATTGAATAATGACTCCAGGATTGTAGTGAGACAGGACAGAGTTTTGAAACTGTCTGATAGTCATTCAGGTCATTTTTATCCAGTTGGAAAAACTCCAGTTGCAATAAATATTACCTATCTTTAAACTTACAGGTAAAACAATGGAGACATAATGATTTACCTTAAATACTATTAATTAATGGTCATTTACTTTAATTATGTAATTATTTACAGCTAACAACTTGCTTATAAAGGATGCCTTGTTTAAAAGAATGAGCACTAAATTGTTATATTGACTGAGATTTGATTATGATCAAACAGGTTGAATTAACTTTTATTGATTTAAACTAAATAATAAAATAAATGTAAGAAATAAAACTAGTCTGATCTCTTTGTGTTACATGTAGTAAATGACAAACTAGAGATTTATGGAGATATTTAGTTTTGTATTATGACTGTCTTGTGTTATCTTCAGTTGTCCCCTTTGTGTCCATCTTTGTTACTCTACCCTGATCACCTGCACAAGTGAAAGCAGATTCCGGCTCATTAATATTTCAGCGTGCTGCTGTAATGAGTCCAGCTGACCAAGTGACTACAGTACGCAAATGCATGGAACAACCAACATGAACGAACATGTAAGTATCTTTTCTTGACAATCATGTTAGCGTATATTAAAAAGTATGGAGTAATGACCAGCTCTCATGTTTCTCTAGCTGTGTGACGGAGCTGAAACAGTAAGAGTGGGACTTGTTCTCTCTGTAAATCCAGGTAAAGCAGCAAGGAGCAAAATTGTTAAAACATTTTTTTTTGCTTTGCTCTCCCTGGGGATTTGTTGAAGTTTGTATTTTTTATGCACAGAGGGTGAAGACTGTGTGGTTATTAGCAGAGACAGACGTGGTGTAGACTACAAATCTGGAAGGGACGAGGTAAAACATTTGAATTCATGTCTTGCTTCAATCAATAAGCTTTCACTAAACTTTCACTGTGATGATGTGTTTTTCAACTCAGGAAGCAAAGTCCTTCTTTTTTAACCAAGTTGTGACTGTGGAAAACATTCAGGTACACATTAACAATGTAACCGTGAATATAAAATGAATACCAATTGTACCAATGTTGTTGTACATTAGAGCTGATCTCAACTGAGCTCCTTTTTTTTTTTATCAACAAACTCTTAAATAAATTAAAACTAAAAGTCTGAATCTGGGAATCTATTTCTGCAGAGTTTGGGCCCTGAGCTCCTGCAGCCTCTCACTGAGGCCGTATCCAATGGTTATAATGGAGCAATGCTGATATGTGGAGCCTCCGCAGACATGATTTCCTCTGTGACTGACAGTCTCATCATTAAACAGGTGGCGCCAAACACAACACTTCAAAAGTAAAATTGGATCAATTTGGATTTTTTTCCCTCTCCATTAATCCTACTCTTTCTCTCCTTCAGGTCCTTGAAAACCTCTTTAGTCATATGATATCAAAACCAAACGAGGACTTGTTCATCTCCGTGTCATTCCTTCAGGTTTGTCCTTCTATTTAACAGCATAAACACAGATCATACTGAACACAATATGGTGCAGGATAACATCTGTTGTTTGCCAATGTCAGTTTTATCCAGATGGCAGCGCTGTGGATGTCCTCAACCCTAACAGGCAGACCTTAAAACCTGTAAAACATCCCGTCCTTGGCAGGTGAGTCAAGATCTTGACCTCAGGACAGTTTGTACACTTGCATCCTGTGAGTACAAATTAGTGTATAAAATGTTTAGCAAATTATATCTTTGTGTTTTTTCTCAGTCTCGTAGCAGGTTTGTGTGAGGTATGTGTGTGTTCAGCAGGAGAAGCCTACACTCTGTATGAAACCTGCAGGGACGCACTGAAGGCCAATGCAGGCTCCATTTCCAGCAGGTAGATAAGACAAGACACAGGTCAAACAAACTCTGACCACGTAATCCATTAACTACATTACCTTAAAGGATTAATTACAGGGGTTGATCACAATAGAGCTAATTGTCTTACTGTCACATTAGTGGTCCGATGGTAACGCAGTAATCTCACAGTGTTATATTTCCTTTTCCTGGCTCTATTTTATTAATGAATTTTGTTGTGTCTACATGTAGGTGTAGTTCCTTGTTCTCAGTGGCTGTCGAGTGGAAACTTCATCCAGAGAAGGCGGAGTCAGAAGTCTGTCGCAGCAGACTCCAGCTGTTCAGCCTGGCGGGGGGAGCCAGTAGAACTGACCTCCGAGGGTCAGTTATCTTCTCAAATACAGAGAGCAATCTATAACTACAAAGGATATAAAGCACTGTTCTGACTGTTGGCTTACATCTAGATAGGGTTCTTTTGCTCTTGCAAGTCAAGCATACCAATCATTTGAATTAAAAATAAAAGAGTACCTCAGTCTTACTTAAGTCAAGCATACCAATCATTTGAGTTAAAAATAAAATAGTACCTCAGTCTTACTTATAATACACTTCTTTATTATAAAACATTCCTGGTGAATTAAAGAGCTAGAACACAAAGGCAAAGCAAGGCATGCTGTCGTGCAACAAAGCATGTAATCCCTTTTTTCATTATTGTAACTCAATGATATTTGAAAATAACGAACATATCTTACAAAAAAAAAAAAGCACCAGTACAAGTAACAAATATCAAAATGAATGTTGACTGAATTACATTAAGCTGCTTCAGTTGCAGGGCTCTGGTATTGTGCAATCTGGCTTGCTGGGCAGATAAATGGCAGCAGTTTACACAGAGAGTGAAAGTGAAATTGACGATAAGGACAGTGGCATTTGATATATGTAATATACATAATACAAGTCTTCAAACTACATCTCTCTTACCAGTATTCTTTGTAGGTCGGAGCATGTGTGAAGCTGATGGTGGTAAAGAAGCTCTGGTAACCCATCAGAAAATAAAAAATATCTCAGACTTTTTGTTTGGTTTAGTAGCCATGGCATTATGAAAGGTGCAAGTGATTATTGAAATATGTTCAGGAACTCCTGTTTGAAAAAAGACAGTCAGAGGATTTCTGGCTAAACAGTAAACAGTAATGTAGTCTATACATAGCGTACATACACTGTATGTCATTAATATTTGGTAATAGTTGCATGTACACTCCAGGGTCAGCCCACTGGTGAAGATTTTAGACCAAACTGAATGTCAAGCAACACCAAGTGACAAGCTCCTCCCCTTCCTGCTACATGAAGCCCTAACTGGAAGCAGCAGGACAGTCCTCATATACTGCATCCATCCAAAAGGCAAGTGTTTTCAAGTGGGCAACTTTCCCATAATCCTTTGAGCAAAGCCATAAATTCCTTTTCTTATCAGGTCTGCTCGATAAAGAGACCCCAGCTGCTTTAGCTTTGGCCCAGAAAGCGAGAAGCCTGGTTACCAAGATGAGGATTGGTTCCTGGTGTCCAAGGGCAACTGAGGAAAAGATCAGAGATGACATCACGGCGCTGAGAGCTTTGATTGTATCACAGGGGCCAAGTGAAGGTCACAATAACTACAGCATGGCAGAGCTGACCCAAAACCTGCAGGTAGTTCATCAGATGAACACTGAATATTTCTGTCTTTCCAAAATTCTGCAGGGGCTAATTGAGTTCAGAGCTGAATTACATTCTGTGATCTCTGCAACAGATTGTGAAAAACCAGTCATGGGAGAAGCGGAGGGATGAGTCAAAGAAGATAAAAGGCAAAGCACAGGTGTCTCACTAAATGTTTTATTCCTCCACATAAAATTTAACAAAATGATAATAGATGTGTTCCCAGCATAATGAATCAAGCACCATGGTTTGCTTTGATTTGGCAGAGTTGTCAGACAATAGACAGCCAATGGCACAGCAGTGCTCATTTTAGAGAGAGTACAGACACAGTGAAAAATTTACAAGACCAGCTGAAACAAGAAATGAAGGAGCATATCAGAGGTAACTGGTTTTGTTGAAAGAAAGATTTTTAAGCTGTACTATAAGGGGAAATGAACGACTGTGTGTGTTTTTTGTTATATCCACAGAGGGTAAAGGTAATAAAGAGAAAGTCCAGGAGAGAGTCACAAGAATCCAGCATCTGAGGGAGTCTATCAGGGAGGAGAAACTAAAGAGCCTGGCTTATACAGAGACATCTGACCTCTGTCAAGACGTAACACACTCAAATTAACTCCTGGCATTTTAAATGATATTGTATACCAATACCTCTGATTGGATAAAGTGTTTAAGAGGCTTGGTTGATACTGTGTACGATTGATGACTGCAAGAGAAGCCAAACTAAGACATTTATTTTGCCAATGAAATGCTCAGTCTCATTTAGAGTACAACAAAGCGCAGGAGCGGAGGAGGCAACTTAAGGAGCACCATGGGAGATTAATTCAGGAGGAGTTGGAGAAGATGGAGAGAGACTTGGCACAGGAGCAGCTACCAGTGAGATAATGAGATACACTGTTGTTTAACATTATTCAGTTTGCGATCTATCTTAGCTGAGAATGCTGAGTCAGTTTGAATTAATGCAAGTTTGGATTTATGGTGGGCAGCAGAAAACCACTGCATCTGCAACTTAATTCTGTTATTTCCTTGCATTTTTTTTGTGGTTGCATCCAATACGTCTGCTAGGCAGAGACCCCCAGAGAGAGCTGTTGGTGCTGACCAGAGAGCGGCAGGTCCTGGTGCTGCAGGTAGAGGCCCTGCGGGCAGAGGCCCAGCAGGCTGAGAGAGACCTGCAGACTGAAAATGACAGACACCAAACAGAGCTGCATTGTCTAAGAGAGGAGAGTCTGCAGGTGGGGGCTCAATGTATACTATTTCACATTTTCATTTCATTACTTTGTTACAACTTTATTACTTTCTGCTTTTCCAAACGCAGGAAGTGAAAGTCTTGGCATGAGTTATATGTGCTTTTCCAAACAAAAGTATGAAGACATTTGAAAGACATTTGTGCCATGCATAGATATTAAAATGACACAATAAATGTGTTAGTGATATGTAGGTTAAGTTGACAAAAGATTAAATGTTTAAATAAAATACAACAAACACAATCAGGACATTATGGATAAACCATTAATACAATCAGATCTTCATAGTGTGATTCCTCTTCATGTTTAAAAAACAAAAGTCAGTTATGTTATTCACAAAATGTGAAATTTTGATTACATAAGCTGAATAGTGAAATTTAACAATCCTGTTTGAAAGGCAAGCGGGAAAAAAAACGTAGTTTTGCCACACAGAAAAAACATGATTTGAAATATAGAAACCTTGTATGTGAATGATCTATTTAACTTTAAAAAAAATCTATTAAATGTGATACTGATTTATGTACAAGCATTTTATGGGTATACAACTTTATTATGTAATATTTGAAACATATCCCAAAAATGATAAAATTATGTTTTTATGAATTTGTGTCTACAATAAGCTTTTTTTCTGCATGTGTTAATATACTGTAAATGTACGAGGGCCATAAAATATATGATGATTATAATTATGACTTATGGGTGGGTGAGTAATGTAGCCCTAACACATCCACCCCCAGTGTCTGCTGATTCAGTGCTTGAGGGAGGGATTTTAGTCAACACTTTCAAACATTTATGAGGCACTAACGTTTTAAGGCAATTTCAAAGGCTTTCCCAAAATGAAACGTAAGTGAATACAATATTAACAGAAAATATATTGAACAGGATTTTGAAGCAGATGGCTGAAGCAAGTGAATAAACTGTAATGAAACATTCAATGACATAACTTCCCTTTTTAACATCACTCATATGTTTTTCTATGCCATCTTACCTCCTCTAGGTGTTCAGAGTGTTTCACCAGGTCAGTGAAGAGCAGAGGAAGATGTCAGAGGGCAGATACAGAGACGTGCTGCTGGAGGCGGTGCAGGATGCAGTCTACCTGTCGGCTCAGAACCAGCAGCTGCAGGCGGACAACAAACAACTCCGTAAAGGTCAGTGTATGTTCCTTAACCTTCGAAAGACTGCTGGCATTCTTTTTTTTTTTCTACAAACAAAACTCACATTAAGTCATACATCTATAAGGCAGAAATGCTATGATTCAAACTGATTCACCTCCAACCAGCACTTTAACATTGTTTTTTTTTTCTTTAACAGCAATGGCAGCGCTGAAGGATACTCTAGCTGTAAGAGGAGATCCTATGGCAGAACTGGCAACCCAACAACAATGAATATTTGACTGAAAGATGTTCATTCATCAATGTGCTTTATGTTAATCATCAGAAATAAGACAGTTTCTTTTTATGGCTTACAAGCTTCACTCACTCAGTATCGTTTGATTGTGCTTTGGGTCTTTAATGTGGTATGTGTGTCTGGTTTGTTTTTGTTCTGTCATTCATGTAAACTGTATATGCACTGATAACTTTATACAAATGAAATTTAAACTCAGCAACTGAAGATGAATAAAGCTAATCCAAGTTGAAGTTGTACATTTTATTGGTTTGAATTTGCACACTGTTTAACACTTTGATTTTGCCATCGACGTTGTTCTTGGCATAGGATGCAATGCAAAACGTATTCACCATGATGACAATAGCAGCACTCCTCAGATATGTTTCAATGCAGATTTAATGATCCTGACCTGCGTTAATATTTGACTTTTCTTGCAGTCTACCAGAATTATAAAATTAACCTCTAATGTATGATGTGCAAAGTCTCATTAGGCATCACCCGACATTGTCTTCACACATTATATGGTTAGAGATCGAACACAAGTGTTGGATTTTTAGAACGAAAGGCAGAGAAAAAAGGCAAAAACACATTTTTAACTCAAAACCTAGCCAACAGAAAATGTACGTACAATGTAATCATTCTGAATCAATGCTCTTGTGGAAATTATCTGTAATAAAGATAAGCTGCCAGTCCAATCATAGACACTGGGAGGAGGAAAAAAGGCGTAAGCTGCAGCCCCAAGATGCCCCAGGACAACAGAGCATTTACCAGCATGGAGCAGGAAATGACAAACAGTCTGGTGATCCCGCTGCCATGTTTGAGCACCACCGACATGAGGAGTCCGTTAGCTGCCTGTCCTGCTATGATGAGCCAAACCACCCCAGAGTACCCCTCAAGAAAGCTCTTTTCATGTGCCACAATGGAGAATGAGGAGAGCCCATTGATGGCCACACCAAACACATAGAGGTAAAGATTCTGCAGGCTGAGGGGCAGCTTCTGACTCTTTAGCACCCTCTCTGTGTAAACTGCTGCCAGGCCTGAAACAAAGCAGTACACCAGTACAAGAAAAAGACCCCAAGCTGTGACGTGTAGCCTGGGACCTTCCTCAGCTTCAGCACTAGCAGGGTTGCCTAGATCTAGACTGCTGTAGGTGTGACACACCCCAGCAGCCATAAGGAGCCCCAGAGCGACCCACTGGACGAGCCGGAGCCTTTTGCCCAGGCAGAGGGAGTACAGCAGGGCCGTGGAGGCAATTTTCAGGTTTGACAGGACCTGGTATGAGCTTGGGTCCATAAAAGCCTGCATGAGAACTACCAGGTTGTTGTTAAGGGCATAGAGTAAGGCAGGGACCATGTAAGGGGCCACACGGACTACACAGAGGGGAGCCTGTAAGGCAGAAGTACCCCCAGTAAGAACAAGAGTCGCCAGAGAAATGAGCAGTTTGGTGAACTCAATCATGACAACACACGATGAAGGATTGAAAGGGATTTGACCGTCTACCTTGGTGAGGCTGATGAGGGGGGCATGAGAGCCATAGATGAGGATCATCAGCCCAAAGAGGGCCCCCCATTGCATCCTTTTCACCCAATGCCTCCTAGTCCTCGAAGGGGAACTGGACGCCACGTTTGGGATCACAATCATCATCTATTACATAAAATAAATAACTTAATTCTAATAACTGAATACCAGCAACAGTGCAAACAGACCTCAGTGTTGTCTAGCTATTGATCTTGACCATATAAATAAATACTATTTTTAGATTACTTTGTGCTACTTTCTCTGTATACGTTTTATGAGTTGAACAATAACTGTGTATATACAACATCTGCAAGAATAAGTTAACGTAATACACACAAGCAATTTACCGGCTTGAAAAAAACTGCTCCAGGCAGCAAAGCTTCACAATTTATGAAATCTGATGGACCAAACCAATCCTTGTCTAAACAAAATCTTACATTTGTGCTGACATTGAAGAGATACTGGTTGAAATGAAACAGAGCAGTATTAAAATGAACCTGGAACCAAAATGAATAAGAAAAAGTCCAGTCTTTTACTTTGTGTCCCCAGTGAGATTACTGTTAAACGAGTATATCCGTAATCCAGTAAGTAGAAATCTTGAGGCCTGATCTGTTTCAAGCTTCCGACAAGACAGCCTCTTGAACGGTATTTCGTCCTCTTGTTCCAGTAACTGGCTAGGATTAGCAGCCTGCCCACATTATTTTGGTCCTTTTTTCAAGTTGTTCATGTAATCTTTTACGGTCCTTTCAATGTTAGGCACTTGATAGTTTTGTGCCGCATACAGGCCAGTGATTGTTCCCAGCAGCACTCCCAGGATGACAGAGGATCGGAGCTTGGCCACCACATAGCCAGCCAGAAAGCCTTTCAGGAATGGAGATCCCAAAACTGTGCCACCCTAAAGATTGAAAAACATATAAGAGAGTTGTCAGCACATGCCAATCACAGTGAAGAGACATACTGAGGGGTACATCAGACTGTCAGAAACCCGGACAGAGTCTTAAATGAAAACGTTTCTTCTTTAAATTGGTTGACATTTTATGAGCATGAACATACTTTCAACAGCAGCTTAAAACGACTTCGATCTAATTTGTACGGTGGCTGGTAAGTGCAAAGCAAAATTACAAATGTGAGACAAATTTACATTTTGAAAAACCTTTATACATTTTAAGAAAACAAAATTACAAAACCAAAACACTTACACCAAGAAAAGAAAACACATTTACATTTTATGAAAGACTTTTACAATCCCCAAACAAATTTACAAACGACAGAATCTTGACAAAATGGGAATTTACCAAATGTCCGGAAGTGACCCGGAAGTGATGGAGTGAGGGGTCATGTTTTGTCGTGGTACATTCCCTTTCCGTCAAGATTCTGCCTCTTGTAAATTTGTCTCAGCGATTGTAAAAGTGTTTCACATCCTGTAAAGTTGTTTTGTCCCTGGTAAGTGTTTTTTGGTTTTGCAATTTTGTTTCACAAAATGTAAAACTGTTTTTCAAAAATGTTAATTTGTCTCACATTTTGTAAAAGTGTTTAACACTTTGTCATTTTGCTTTGCACTTCCCAGCCACCGTAAATTTACGTTCATCGTACAAAAACTTACCTGAGGAATCCCCACAGACACTTGGTTTTCTACTCGTCTCTGGATTTCCTCCAACTGGGTTTTGAGCTGCGACAGATCTTTCAGCTGTTTCAAAGGATCCTACAACAACAAAGAAACATGTTAAATTTACACACAAAAAAGAAACCTGTTAATGTCAATAACGAGAACTAAAGTTACTGTGAATAAAATCTTAAAGTTACTGTTAATAACTGAATTTCTCAACAAAAACATCTAGCCTTCTTGAAGTTTGTTGATTCACTAATAACAACAAAACTCTTCTCTTAAGGATTAACTCATCTAATTTAGAAGCGATGATCAACTAGGTTAATGATGATCACAGCTGACCGCTTTGGGGACAATCCGTTTCCTCACCCTCTTCTTTTCCTCGCTGTCATCTAATAAAACACATTGAATTAGTGTATTTAAAAAACAGAGCACAGAACTCACTCACCTTGTCATCCGCCATGTTTGCCCAGTGCGGTGATATGTGTTCAGTTACTAATGTCTGATCCGGTCTGATCGGGTTTTTTTTTTCTTCTTCTCGATTAGTTTGGTCTGATATTGAGTGCAACAGAAACCCTGAAATTAGTCTTGTAGGAAATAAGCGACAACACTGTTAGATAAAGATAAATCAATGGAAGTCGGATACACTTATTGAGGCAGGACAACAGCTTGCACATAGATGTTGTTACACATCATAGGATAGGATAATACTTTATTGATAATACTTTAATAAAAACAGGGGGTATATACAGTACAAAATGAATGATGAAGTTAACTATGCAGGGAATTGAGAATTGAGACAGTATTTGAAGAGAATGACAAGATAAAGTGACAAGTGATGATTAAAGTGACTTATGATAAATAGCAGCAAGTAATGTAAACAGCAGAGAAGAGTGCAGTTATATAATATAATGTAGTATAATATAATATAGTGCAATATGAACAATATAGTGTAATATAATGAAATGTTGTATAATATAGACTAATATAATAATATAATAAAATATATAGAATGTACAGTATATATGTATATATATATATTGATGCTGAATAATAATAATACAATGTTAGTAAGGATAATAATGAAGCAGGTCATGTGGGTAGTGTTTTATGGGGGTGAAGTTCTGTGTCAAGGACGGACTGTTATTGTATTAAATCATGTAAAAATCATGTTATTCTGTTTATTTTCCATTCACTTTTCCTATCAGACTACACCGAGGGGAGAGTGGGATCCTGGATCAAGAAATAGATAGAGCGTCTTGAACTTTGATGATAACTAAACAGTCTATGACGATAACATAGAGGTACATTCTTTAAGTTTCCTTAAGTATTGTAAATCCCAATAAATAATTGTATTCAGATATGACAAAGCCATAAACTTCAGCGTTCAAATGGAGTAGAGTGAAATTATCCATCTTTCATTTAATCACCTTTACCAAAATTTCAGTATGAAAATGCAACACGTCTTGTAATCAGCAGAACAATCTCTGGAAATAACAAGTAGATTAATTACATCAAAATGTTGTGTTCGGTCTGCACAACGATTCCTGAATCTGTACCTAATATTTTTAAACAGTAACGAAGATTGTGGTATATTTTTCCACTTCATTTTCGATAATGGCTAAATTTAGTTTAGTATTTTGTTTCTGAGACAACACTTGCATCCATGGGCGGTTCTAGGCAGGGGCCAACAGGGGCCAGTGCCCCTGTAACACTGAGCTTGTCCCCCCTGTGGCCTCCAAAAGGAAGAGCCCACCCTAATAACACATACACAGTATTTGACTCAACAACCGGACTCACAATCTATTATTAAATACTGTTACTGAAACAAATATAAATCATGGTATTTTCTGTTGTGGTATTTAATGATGTGCGCTATTATTTGGCATAGTAGGTGTTTTTAAAGCGATCACCTTCTGAGTTTAATGTTCCCCTCTGACAAAACAACTGGTCCCAGTTTGGCCCCCTCAGTAAAAATGGTCTAGAACCACCACTGCTTGCATCAGTCGTTTCAATGTAATAACACATTTTTGTAGTTATATCCAAACAAATGTGGCACATAGTGTCCAGTTACCAGCAGGGTGTATTTCATAAAGTCAATATATTCATGCGTTTTTTTTTTTTGCTTTATATATGATGTACTAAATGATAATTCCATTTAAAACTTGCTTATTTTAACATCATCTCGGGTATGTATTTATTCATTAAATCGTTGGATAAGGTTGAGAAGCCTTCAAATGATATATTTCCAATGATTCAACTTTAAGTCACTCTCATCGTCCCACTGCCTGAACTACCTGCTCACACCGTCTGTGGACGCTCTGCTCTGAAGGCCTACGGGACGCACACTTTACTTTCACGTGTCAAAAACGTCTACGGTGATAGGCCCGCGCTTGTTTATCCTGACACATGATTGGTTGGAGACCATGGCAACAATCCGCCATGTTTCTCTCGAAAGTCGAAGAGAGACACGAATTCGCTTAACAGACATGTTTTTGCATCGTAAATCTTTGATTACGCACAAATTTTCGGGCAAATTCCTCAATTACTCACCACCGGCACAATGTTTGACTTTTTCAGCGACTTCTGAAGGCTGTTTGTAGCGTTTCTTGGAGCCTCCGGCCATCGTAGGTAAGACGTCAATAAGAAGGCATTTCATTGGATAACTCGCGGACTGTTCAGGCAGTATAACCACACGCCATTAAGCCTGTTTTTAAAGCAGGGCTGTACCACTGTTTTTAACATGTTTGTGCTTTTCAGACTCCCCCAGAGCCTCACGCTTGACACGTTTCCACGATATTTCATTTTGACAAAGACCGGGCTTTACTGTCACTGCACGAAGAAGTAGCCCATAGTCAAGCTGTCCCAATCCCATAGTATCTACATGTCTGTTTTCAGCAGGATGGACTACAATAATGTCCCAAAACCCAGTATACATGTCTATTTTCAGCAAGGATGGACTACAATAATGTCCCAAAACCCAGTATACATGTCTATTTTCAGCAAGGATGGACTACAATAATGTCCCAAAACCCAGTATACATGTCTATTTTCAGCAAGGATGGACTACAATAATGTCCCAAAACCCAAGTATACATGTCTGTTTTCAGCCAGGATGGACTACAATAATGTCCCAAAACTCAGTATGCATGTCTGTTTTCAGCCAGGATGGACTACAATAATGTCCTGACATCAAATAAAAGCACAGAAGAGTGATGCTGTCTATGTTGTCCAACGTTTCTTAACTAAATTGTTAAACCATTTTGGTCATTTATCATTTTAGAATATTTACTGTAGTCTTTGCATTAGCAGAAGATAACCGAACCTGCACTTAAATTAACTACTATTGTACTATTTATCATGTTGGCCCTAGATCTTTGAAAGTCATGGAGAAAGTGGAGGTGATTGAGGTCATGAAAGTGACTGAGGAAGTGGAGAGCTGCTACAGCCAAATGGAGCTGACAACCCTCAAAAAAAGAAAAAACAAAGGTCAAGAAGACACTTCTGACAAACCAAAAAAGCCCAGGTAGAGTATATAGCCTATCCAAAAGGATGCACTAAGTACCCCCACATAAAGCCTTACACATTCATGTCTCTCAAATTTTGTTGTACTGACTGTTAATGGGAAATCTGTCTTTTAGGACTGCCTATCTGCTCTACTACTTTGATGTTCACCAAATTATGCAACAGGAAATACCAAATCTGCCACAGTCAGAGATCAACAAACGCATCAGTGAGAGCTGGAAAAGGCTCAGCGTAGCCGAAAAGGCATACTATCTTGAAAAGGCCAAGTCCGAGAAAGAGGGCATAGACACAGTAAGTTAAATCCTTTCCCCTTTCCCCTTTTAACTTCTACATCTGGTCATCCATGGAGCCCCATAATACTCTGATGTTAAGAATACAACTTTCTTATGTAGAAAAAAAAACATGAGAACACATCTGTCTTTTCAGAAAGAAATATGAAGTTGTGCAAAATTGTATTTAGACATCCTCTCATGTGCACAGGGTTAAATGATACTAACTTGTTTCCAAGATTTTCTCCTAACTTTAAGTAATTACAAAAGTACTGATCACATTAATGATCAAAAACTACAAAACAATCCAAAAGTCCTCTGAAAAATAAAAAAACAAAGATTTGTTTTCTTTTTTCCGGTTCGTAAGCTATGAATTACTGTATTGACCGTAATGTATATTCTGACAGAACTGCTGTGTCAGTTGAACCTGCATCAGTAAATTAATGGCAGTGTTAAGAAAGTTTGTCCATAATGGAATTTTTGATTTGCTATTGAGTACATTAGAGTCCTTCAGTATGGATACACTCCACAGAGAACGCAGGTTTTCAATTTGAATGATTACATTTGTAATGAATACATTTGGCCCCTTTAACTTCTGATGAAGCCAGAATGAAGTGTCTCATTAGCAGCAATAATATAATATAGCACATTTCTCCTGCTTTATCAACAGGGGGCTAGTTAACTGATGTCTATGGCATTACGTCAATACGATTCAATGGATATCTGTGAACGGTTTTCTCAATTGTGCCATTCCCTTAGATGTCTCTCAGCCCCTCCAAAGATCTCCCAGGCTTTCGCAAAATCCTCCCCAGAGCCAGTTACTTTCTCTTAGCCAAAGGGTGCTCTTCCAGTCAACAGCCTGGAGGGTCTCAGCCAGAGGTGAACATGGACTCTCTGGACTCTCCTCTGGACGGGATCTTGCCCTTTACCTCTAATAACCAGGAGCCCCAGTTCACAGCTCTCGGGCTGACTGAAGAGGATGAACCTTCCAATCACACGATTGTTGCAGATGACAAAGAAGAGGACACGGCCGTTGTTACTAATCCAACAGCTCCTCAACAAATCCCGTCCTCCTCATCCTCTCCTATCTCATCCAAAGCACCTGTCTCGCAGGGTGCTGCTGGCTGTGGTTTTGGTGGGGCGATGGTGCAGCAGATACAGGGGGAATCTACACAAATGGTTGCATTCATACCCAACCAGGTGAGCCTAAAAGGCCCTTCTTCCAGTATGCAGAATTTGCTTCATTCATTGAGTGATGATTAAGACTTGTTAGGCAAACTTCTCAGCAGTTCAGCATTTAATCACATAGACGTGGTGTAACTAATGCATTGAGCTGATGTGTCCCTTACTGCAGAAAATGCTGGACCCTAAGTCTTTGGCAACTGTTGGCCCCATGATGATGGTCTCTGTTGGAGCCAGCATAGAAAAGAGTGCCAAACCTTCATATAAAATGGTAAGCACCCACATTATTCATTTTTTAAATGCTCATACTGATGGTGGAGATCATGGAGGCTGGAAACATCAAAACATAATGAGGAATATTATTTGGTGGAAGAGTCTTGATGGCAAGCCTTAGTTATGCATGAATTTAGCCGTTCATTTTTTGAATACCTTTTTTCACAGGGTGTGAAGACTTACACCAGGCGAGGTCGAGGGAGGTGTCTAAATCCTGGGTGTTCATTTGTGTATGTCACACGCCACAAGCCACCAACATGCCCTGAATGTGGCAGCCACCTTGGCGGAAAATGGATACCAGCTGTAAGTGTCAACACAAGAGCAGTTAGGGATGTTTAGTCTTATTGAAAACCAAAGATTTGTTTGTCATTTAGAATACAGTTTTAATCCACATTTCAAATAAATGACTTTTCTATATTTATATAGCAGGCTAAGAAGACACAAGAGAAAGAAGCTGTGTCAAAGCTGTTGACACAGAAAGCTGACGGCTGCAACCCCACACCTCAGGCTGCTAAGATGGGGAATTCAGATGTCAGTAAAAAAAACAACACTGGGAGTAAAAGAGAAGGTCGAGTTCAGCGCTGCTCCAGAAAGCAGCATGCGGGTTCAGCCGGAGAGCCACTAGAGGGCAGCAGCACCAAGGGCCAGGAACAAACTAAGTGAGTGTCCATGAATTTTAAAAGCAGCAGTCGTAGATAGATGGACAGTCAGCCTCCATTTGAGTATTAAAGGGATACTTCACCCGTTGAAACATGAATCTGTACTGACATTGGGTCATACATGTAGTATAAATGTGAAATACATTTTGAAGTTGGTGCCTTCTTGGCTGAGAAAAGGCAGAAAGTGTCTTTTTGGCTCGTGGATGAAAGACCCCAAATCCCAGAATGCACAGCACCGCAGGCCACTCCCACTAAGGTCCTCTAGTTCAGAATCAGAAATGCTTCATTAATCCCAGAAGGAAATTCGATCGTTACAGTTTCTCCAAAATATACAATATATTAATAAAAACATTTACAGACATATTTACTTCATCACATGAGGCCGTTTCCTCAACTGATTCTGAGATTTCTTCCAGAATTGATCTTGGAAATTCTTGGCAGAAAACAGACTCTATGTCTGTGTTCATAGGCAAACAGTGAGAGCACCGACACTACCAGTCCGCCCCAGCTCAAGCCGGCCGCTTTGCTGTCGCGGTGGCAAGCAGCAAACAGCCAGCGGCCAAAACACAAGACCGGCCTGTCGGCAGCATCCATCTCGCCGCTGTATTTATATTTTTTCACCATTATCAGCCTTCTCCATAGAGCCTGTTTGCATAGCTTCCAAGAAATATGGCGGACGTTAAGTTTCGATTCTGGCAGTGAGTTCCCACCCACTGATCTGTGATTGGTCTGTAGCTTAAGTGGTTGAAAATATGAGGAACTAGCGTTTAGTTTCCCCCCCCGCTAACAATGATGTTGTGATGCAACAGTGATGCAAAAATCGTCATTTTGCGTCACTGGAAGCTCCTTTTCAGACTCAGAAATACAAAGATTTCCCATCTCAGGGGAAAATGAGGGCGGGATGCACGACCATTCAAAAATACTACCAGGTTCTAATGATACAAAGCTTAATGCAAATGGATGAAGTATCCCTTTAAACACTTTTTATTCGCTTCACAAAAAAATGGTTTAAATATATACAGTATATATATAAAATAAAATGCTGATTTAAGTGTGTCTATCATTTGATATCTATTCTCCATGTCATGTTAGTAGAGAACTGAAAGACCATATTAAAGGAACAGTAATCCAAAGTCAAGATAGAAGCGACACCGCTGTTCAGAAGAGGCCGGTCAGACCGATCCTCCCCGCCTATAACACAGGTAAGAGAAACATGTAGCACAAAGGAAATATTCTTTTGTCAGAGTGTAAATAAGCTGCTTACTCATGGGCTCACGTATTGGCTTGTTTCTATGTCTCCAGGCCGCACTTTGTTCCAGATCATAACCGTCCCACCTGATAAAGGAAAACTTCTCAGTACAAACAACAATAAATCACCTACTGGTATATTGTAATTGTTTTTCCAACTTATTAAATCTAATATTTCTGTTGGTAGTTTGACATGTATTCTTTGTCCATTCAGCTCTTTTTTTTTGGCATTTGAAGTCTAGTGTTGCTACACAAAGCGGAAGTGATATGTGAGAATAGGTGACTTTCTGAGGTCACTGCTCTTTTTTTGATGTGGTTGTTTTCTTACTCAGTGTCTCGAGAGACTTTCTCAGGGCTCAAACCAAACACTTTAAAGCAGCTCGGCCAGACTGTCCCATCAACTGCAGCCAAGCAGGTTAAAATATACACAAACACACACACAATAAGTACAGAGAAACACGTACAAATAGAAACAGCAATATTTATGTTTATTTGTATTTACATATATCTGTAACATAAATATACATGAATGATTTAGTGTGTTCTTTTTTTACTCACTTCTCCATCCCCCACCCCCTTTTTTCTCTTGAAATATCCTGACCTTTTGCATATTTTTTTCACAGGAATCTTCTATCCCACTAGATGGTGGCCAATCTGTGTCTTTATTGGCAGATAAGAGAGTTAATATCCTCTCAGTCGTGCCATTTAAACAACACACCATCTCCAGCTTTGTTAGTATAGCACTATTCTCTTTCAATATAAACCTGTTTCTGGAGATCTCTTGTTTCTTAATTTGTGGGTAACTCTTTTCTCCTTTCTGTTCCTTAAGGACCTGGGACTGTCTACAGCTCGAGGAAGAGGTCGATGTAAGAATCCTACTTGTGATTATATGTATAAGAACAGACACAAACCTGCAGTGTGTCCTAAATGTGGCTGTGAGCTCACCCAGAAGAACACCAAAGGAAAAAAGGTGAAAGCTTACATCCTCCAGATTCTTCTTAAGTGCAAAAGAGCTGCCCCCTGACCCCCTTTATGAGCCTCATCCCCACCTTGGATCCCTGAGCAGTTAATGCTTGACACTAATATATCTAAATCTGATAACATCAGGCTTTTGATGTCTTTGGTCCTTCTCATCCCTTAACTGTGCTAATGTTTACTCAGACTACATGAACATGATTATTAAAGCAAACTTCTGACTTAAATACTTTGGATGTTAATTCCTGTTTTTCTTTTTTCAGTGTGGGACCTTGCTCGATCCATACCAGCCCCTGAGTCCTTCTCAGAAGGACATCCAGCGCCAAAATACGGTGCAGTTACTGCAGCGTTCCCTGCAGATCCCAGAGAACGAGACAGAGCTTCAAGAAACTATGAATCTCATCCAGGAGCTTAATAGTCTCCAGATAGTCTTGGTCCAACCAGACAACCAGGAGCTGGGAAGCAGTGTAGAGACGGAGACGCTGGTGGAGTCTGGTTGGCCTCAGTTCTATGAATCAGCAGCTACTCACTGTGGCCTGTGTAGCTACCCACTCTTCAAAGGAGATCAGAGGTGAGAAGATTGAGAGCCGGACGACAAGGCGGAGAGGAGGGGTCTAATGTTTGTTTGTTGATTGTTTTTTAATTCTCATTTTCTACTCATTATTTCTGTATTTTAACTATCCTACTGCTCTACTGCTGGTTAGACAGATTGAAGCACACATGTTGTGGTCCCTTATTTATCGTTGTTGTACTTTATGAATCCTCAGGAGTATAGTCAACGTTTTATTGAGATTGTTTTACACACACACACAAGCCCAAAATACATCCATGCATACAGGACCTGTGGAGTATGGACATGCATTAATAGACTCTGTGGTTCTTGTTTGTATATCCTAGTTCTGTTGCAGGACAAGAGGTCTGCTGGCTGCTTACTGAGACTCTGTTCCAGACAGCCAGCCTCCAGCTCAAGGTGTGTCTCAACGTTATGTGTCTGGTTCTTCACAGCTTCACTGACCTGCATCCAGGTAAACAGCACCACACACTAGAACTTGTACTTTTCTCAGCTCCTTTTTTAAAATCAAGAGTCAGGCACTGCAGCCTCCCAGATTTGCATGATGTTGGTACATTCATTGTTTGTCATTATTTAAGGGTGACTTCATGTTGGACACAGCAACATTGCTGATAATTTTCCTTAATAGCGATCTCTTTTTAGCTGATGGAACAATATGGGGCACTTAAACTGTGGATTCTGTGTGCACGATATCTTAATGTGCCGTAGTTTCCACTAAGAATTATCAGAAGGGAGGTCTTTTCAAAAATGTTTTGCAAATGTAGAGACGATTTTTGATTTTAAGATCAAGACGCCTAGCCTATTCTTTTTTTTAGCTGCTAACTTAGTGGCAAGTATATGTTTCATTTCTTTGCTCAGTCAGTGTATGAAGTGCATAAATAAACCACGTCTGACAGAAGTTTATTTTACAATGTAACAATTCACTTATCAGACGCTTTTATCCGAAGTGATGTACATCAGAGAGTTAAATACAACACTAATCCATTCAGTCACCGAAGCAGCGGGAGCAATGCGGGGTTGAGTTTCTTGCCCAAGGACACATCAGCTGGGCATTGAACTCTCGACTTTCCGGTTGAGAGGCGACGACCCTACCAACTGAGCTACAGCCGCCCGACAATTTAAACAGTTAAATTGTCTCACCAGCTTCCTCTGTGAATTAAAACGCTTATTTTTTTGCAGGTTTGTTCAACATTGGGAACAGACTGCTGGTTAGTATCGATCTGTTCTTAAAGATCAGGGCGAGTGTCAAATTGGGCAAACCCCCGCCTGAGGCAGCTAGGACCTTACTAGACCACAACCCAAATCATCCGGGTAACCACGGCATTTAACTCGTAAACTTTCATAAATTCTGCTACCTTTTCCTCTACATTTGAAGTCTTGTATGTTTTGTCTTTTACGTTGTTTTTTTATTTTATTTTTTATGTGAATTGTATTTTGTCCTCCTCTTTGTCATCAGTCCACACTCTGAGTGCAGAGGAGTTTTCACAAATTCAGGAGCTTCTCCTGAGTGGATACTGGGCCTTTGAGTGTCTGACAGTGCGGGATTACAACGATATGATCTGCGGCGTTTGTGGTGTTGCTCCCAAACTTGAGATTGCTAAGCGATACACAAACAACGTTCTGGAGCTGAAGAATGTGGAGGTGAAAGATTAATCATGAAAATGTATTTAATGACAACATTTTAGATCTGTTTGGATGTTAAAACCCTAGAGTAAGTAAGTTTTGACGATTTTAGATGTGTTTAACAAGAAGCTGTAGGGAACTCTTTACACACTTGCCCACACTTTGTTCTATCCACAGTTCACCTGGCCTGAGTATTCAGTCTCAGATGAGGTGCACGTGGATGACTTCTGGCTGACCATGGAATGCGAGGCCATTGAGCAGGCAGCTTTTCCTGCTGACATCCCCATCACACGTGTAGATGCTTCTATCATTGCTCCATTCATTCCCCCCCTGATGAGAAGTGCTACTGTTATCAACACAGAAAAGGACAAGGTGAAGGCACCTGCACAGCAGCCATCAGGTGCCTCACTCTCTTAAACCACAGCTGCTTTTAGACACATTTAACCAGTGATTTGAAATGTTCATTAGCCAATGTTGCATGTGTCACTGAAAATGTAGAAAAGAGGATGAGAGGAGTAATTGTTTTATGGTTAGAAAATGATGGTATAATGATTAAATGATCATGCACAGGGTACAGTTTTGAATATCACTATGTTAATATTCTGTGTTAAGTATTTCTCCCATGACAAACTTGGTTGAATGAGTAGCTCTGTTTTTGATTTGAGTTATACGTAGCTGTGATTAGGTTTATTTTGGCTAGTGGCTTCTACATAACCTGGAAACACTTTTTAAAAGCTTTTTCTTTATCAGGGGATCCATCAGCTCTGGTGCGTCTCATTCATGATGGTCACTTGAGCCTCGACAAGATCGAAGATCACAGTGAGGACGAGCTGAGAACAATGCTGGACTGCTGCAGGGCCAGCATAGCCCCGAGCTCCTCCAAGGTGTGTGTGTGTGTGTGTGTGTGTGTGTGTGTGTGTGTGTGTGTGTGTGTGTGTGTGTGTGTGTGTGTGTGTGTGTGTGTGTGTGTGTGTGTGTGTGTGTGTGTGTGTGTGTGTGTGTGTGTGTGTGTGTGTGTGTGTGTGTGGTGTGTGTGTGTGTGTGTGTGTGTGTGTGTGTGTGTGTGTGTGTGTGTGTGTGTGTGTGTGTGTGTGTGTGTCACACACACAGAGAACCCTGTGCTCATTTTTGCTCACATGATTTCGTAGTTGGGTTTTTATGACTTGAACTAAACGCTGACCATTAATTACAACCTACTGGGACAAGTTTACAATCCATAACACAGGATCCCTTCCTCACAACCTGAGACTTGAGTGTCTTGCTGCAGGGTGTTGCAGAAAGTTGGTTTGCTTAATGAAGGCAGCTTGAAATTCTGATTTCTTTATATGTTCCCTAGTGAGGTAGTACTCATTTTACTATGTTTACTATGCTGTACTAATATCAGTGTGTGTGTTTGTCTCATTAAACGCCTCCTCTCTGTCTCCATCTGTTAGAATGAGCTGCTTGCCTCCCTCATCTCCTTGTACACACTTGTTCACAGTGGCCTCCCAACAGCCTCACAGCCCCCGCCTCACCTCACCGCAGGCAAGCTGTCTAAGGTCTGCCCCCACAAGGTAAAATCATTCCTTTAACTAGACATCCAGTTATGCATTTACCTTTAAAATAAAATCTTTCGAGTTAAGTCCTGAGCAAAATTTATATAATGCAGCCTAAAATATGAGAATACATTTAAAGGGAACATTTTGTGAATACTGTAAGAAGTTAAACTCAAATGTCTACTTTGCAATCAACAAAAACTCTGGAAAGGGTTTCAGCATTACTTCCTCTGTACCTGTCTCCAGGTGGTGTGCGGCTCTAAGTACTTAGTGAGAGGAGAGTCAGCCCGAGACCACGTAGACCTGCTACTATCCTCTCGCTACTGGCCCCCTGTGTATGTGAGTGACTGTGCGCGTCAGGTGGCACTCTGTGCTGACATGCAGTACCCAGAACTGGCAACCCAGATGTGGGGTAGGAACCAAGGCTGCTTCTCCGACCCTTTTGAAAAGCCAGAGGCAAGTGTTTACGCATCAATCCTAAATTTGAAATAACAACTGTGCTGCTTTAGGTTTCTTTGCTGACAGCCGCTCACCTTCTTCCTTTAGTTTGTCTCCTGTGCTGAGCTACAAGAACAGTCGTACAGCCCTGACCTGTCGTTGGTGGCAGAGAACCAGAACGTCCACCCTATCACCAAATCATCATGCAGCTGGTTGGTTCACCCTCCTGGAGCAGCTGAGGAGACTGAAAAGCACCACTCTATGGTCCTCTGCAGAGATCTGGAGCCCTACATCAGCATGGTGCATGAGCTGGAGAAAGAGGAGGAGGATGGAGCAGAAAGTAAAGAAGAGAAAGACATGAAAGAGAATGACTACGAGGAGAAAACAGAGGCGTGTTCCTCGTTAAGCAATGAATGGCAGCAGCCCGTGGTTTTCAACAACACAGCTTACTACTACCTTTACAACCGCCTGGTGGATTTCCTCACCAGCAGGGACATTGTGAGTCAGCAGATCAACCAGGTGGTGAAGGCCTGTCAACCTGGGGAGGTGGTGATCAGGGACGCTCTGTACCGACTGGGAGTGGCACAGATCAACACAGAAAAGGAGGAGGATGAAGGAAGTGGGATGGATGGACAGACACAACAGGCAGGGACAGAGATATGTGAGGGCGTGCTTCCTGAATAAAAAAAAGTTATTCGCTACCTCCTCCTGGAAATGCCCTGGGAAGCTTTGGTTCCTTGTAGAGCTCTGCACCAGTCAAACAGTCCCACCATCCGTTTGACCCACACCAAGATGATTCTGAATTAGGCCTGCTCTAATACACACACAAACTAGTCAGCAGTGTCATTTGCCACCAGATATTATAACAAAGAATAATTACACAGATCATTGTCAAAAACAGATGCACAAAATAATATAGTCACAAGTTACTAGCAAATTTAGTAAATCAACATTTATATGGTTTTAAAGGGAATTGGAGATGAGTCTGGTTGATGAAGTTGCACCCAAAACAAACGTATGAGTTATTGAAAGACTTGATACAGACCCCTTTTTGGCCTTGAAACATACTTTTCTTCCTCCATGAACATCAGATCATGACCTAAAGATTGTTAAATAATTATCTTGAATATCTCAGTTACTGTTTCAAATGACTGAACGAATGTAACACGCTTGTTGTTTTACCTATAAGGTCCTAAGAGATAAGGATATGAAAGTGCATGATTCCTCAAATCTACTTCAGTTCTCTTCTACGACTCTTACATTGTTAATAGTATTTTAAGATCTCATCTAGGTATTAGCCTTAATGTAAATATTTACCCATGATACAGTATTCATTTCCCTGATATGTCCACAGACATTTCTGCTTTGTGTTTTACATTCTCACCTCTCACCTGCCAGTTGTTGCCTTTCAGACTGATGTTGTATCTGCTCATTACCCTTGGGCCCTTTGCCTTATTGCATCATGTTTTCTTCTCAATAGAGATTCAATAGAACTCATGAGAGGTCTGCTTTTGCAATTAAACTGTAGATATTCAAATGAATGAAGTGCATCAACCTAACTCGTATATACTACAGCTAAGCTACTAGAACTAATAATATACTATTTAGATGAAGATTAAGACTGATGAAACTCTGAGGAAGTCCAGGCAAACTTGAAAATGATGAAAACAATAAACTGTTGATCAAAAGACATGCCAGATGTGTTCTTTAGATAAGGCAAGGCGAGGTAAGTATATTTATAAAGCACCGTTCAACTTATTTTATAGAAGTGCAACTGAGCACAGAATAATGTTTTATATTAAAACCAAGAAAAAAAGTGTATTGTTGTGTATTGAGGAACATTAACACACAGTGTAGGAATGTGATTGATCTGTTCCTATTAAGATCTTTAAACACTAAAAGGCATCGTCTTTGCAAAGAAGGTCAGAGATAGTTCTGTCTCTGATACACAATTTTAACACAGAGCTCCCGAAGATAAAAGTAGAATAGGCAGAGGAGGATTAGGATTCATCAAAGTCATTACCATGGTACTTTCTGGTGGTGAACAAAACACTAGACTGTTTGCAAAATGTACCTCAGAGTCTGGCACCTCACAAAGTCACAACGAAAGTCATTTTTGAAAAGAAAAGGAGATACAATTTAAGCTGAAACCACAAAAAGAAGACAGAGCATGCAGACTGAAAGTAGTCTCAGTGAACGGACAAATACTTCCCTACTTAGAGTTGTGCAATGTTGACATTTACTGTGGGAAATGTTCCAAAGGAAATGCAGATTGGACATTGTCCAATGGAAAACAGGAAGTGAGCAGAGAAGAACTTGCCTGCAGGACAGTTTCTATCAGCACGGTGAACTTCCACAAACCTTGTTGAGAAGCTCCTCTCACCAAATCACAGTGTAGTATGAACATTACATGTCTTGAGCTCCAGTGGCAAACCTTCACCTTCAGCTTTTAAGTCATTTTATTGGCAGCTTTTTTTCATGAATTGACTTATTTGCACACAAAACACGACTGATACATGAAATATTGATGCAATACTAAACTCTACAACATATATGCGAAAATAAAGGTAATTCTGGATTTACATCACGAGATATGTACATTATTAGACATCTGTCTTTTGTTTCATTGAAATGCAAGCACATTTTAAATGCCGATTATTACACAAATTAGCGGCCTGTATCTTGAATAGCTTATATGTTTTTCTAAAGTCTTCATACAGTTGGCAGTGTAAGCTGACTGCTACATATAGACATCACTGAGGCATTCTGTACACCCTTAAACTTATCTAACCCCAAAGGAAATGAGATTTACTTTCACATTGTTTGTCTGATCCACAACAGATTCCTTGCTCAGTTCAGTTGTATTCCCTGCTCAGTTCAGTTGTATTCCCTGCTCGCAACATCACAGAAGACTGCTTCATTAGATCGAAGTGAAACAATCACATGTATCCACCAACTGACAACTGCTGCTGTTGTGTCACAAGAGTAACAGCTATGACCAAAGCACAGAGAAGAAAACAACATGATCATTCTTTGCCTTCTCCACGGTCCAGTTAGCATGTTTCAAACAGAAGACAACACTTGCACTGTCTGAATGTTCAATTAAGGTGATGAGGGAATAAAACCTAACTTGTCTAGAGCAAGAAAAGTGTCTCTTGTGGGTTTGGGTCCAGTGTCTGTGACTGCTTTTTCCGAGAAACTGCACATGCAAGAAAATGGTGAAAAAGAAGGGAACCTGCTGACAAAATGACTGAATCTCCACAAGAAACAAAACATCCACTCTTGTGAGGCAGTATTAAAAAATAGGAAAATAATGTAAAATATATATATAATAAAAACCCTCTCAGGTAAAGGGACAAACACATCCTCCTTTAGATGAACAGATTATACAATAAATACACAAAAGAAGGAGTGACAAACAGTCCATGAGGATAAGGTAAAACTTTGGATGCTTGTGGGGTTTGTTGACATGTTTCCTCCTTTCATGTCTGCAGTTAGATGTGGCAATTTCTAGTCATGGTCTGCACAGAAGCAAGTCACATGCTTGCTGCAGCTACTTGTCTGTCTGGCGAGCAGGCACGACAGGCAAAAATAGCTGAGGGCGACTCTCTCTGCGACTGTCTGGAAGTTAAAAGGAGCTGTGGTGCTCTGACAGCGAGCTACAGCTACATCGCAACTTTCCTGATACTTGCTGATAAGTGATTGGTTGGCTGGTTGGTCTGTGGCTGAGGGCCTTCAACAGAACTGGTAGTTGTTGGTCTTCATCAGAGGCTGCTCCTCTTCCTCGTGGTCACAAGATTGGTCACAGGGGCCGTCGCAGCACTTGGGCTCGTCACACACTTCACCCTCCGTGACCTGCTGCTGCACATTCTGGTAGATTAGCTGTGGAAAGGATCATTAGGATTGTCAGCCACGATCCAAGAAAGCCAAAGGCTCCATCAAGACATCATGGTTTGATAACAACTAGCTTCTAAAACATCACATTCTGTTCATCTTTTGTGGGATACAGGAAGTTTTTTGTTGCAGAAAATAGTAGTGTTTGAAAAAATCCTCCTCAGGGAACATATGAACTATCCATTTAATTAGTCTGACAGCAAAGATACGTCTGCTGTCACTTTGGGGAGGGTTTCTCCCCAAAGCATTTTGGCTGGAGTATCATGTGTTGTCCCATAGACAGTTTTGGTAAAGACTAACTAGCGTTACTGAACTTTGCTTCTACTGACTCACCCGTTCCTGCTCTGGTTGGTCCCCAAGTAGTCTTTCTATCATCTGTGTGATCTTGCTAAATGTAGGACGATCTGTGGGCTCCAGATTCCAGCACATTTTCATGATCATGTAACTGAAACAAAAAAGAAAATGAACCACAAAAAATACAGATCAGTTTTAGTTTCCAACAAATAGGAAAGAATCGGTGAAGGGTCTTACGTACACGCCGAGCTGTGTCCCCAAGGTTCAAACTTTATGGTTAAATGTCAAGGAAGTGTATAAAGTTGAATTAGATCAATAAGAAGAGGCCTATGGAGGCACTGACGCAAATTCACAAGGGACTCGTTCATAAGATCCCCTGCCCCTCCAGTTCGATTTCGGTGCCGTGAAATAGCAGTTACATGGCTTCCTGGCTTTGAGATCATGTGGCTAACAGGCAGAACTGAGGCCTGACTCACAGCAGAACAACAGATGATTAGGCCCTGACTCAGATTCAGTCCCTCCGTCTCCACAGAAGAGTTATTCTGTGTGGTGAGGATTCAAAGATGTACAGTAAGGGCCTTTAAGATACTTAGATAAAAAGTCTTAATTTTCTCATTTCAGTGGCTTGGAGTTTGGGTTTAATGTATTTGTTATTTTTTTTACTTTGGGGTTAGAGGAAACCCAAAGCAAGAATTTAGGGACGGTGAAAGTTCTTTATGAGGTTACCTCATGTGTCACTTACATCAGATGGTGGATAAGCAAACGACTGGTCAAGAAAAAGGGGATCTTTGTTCAGTCATAATGAACATTTGGGTAGCATGCCATGTCAAAAGTGCAATATTGAAGTCAACTTTATTTTACAGATCAGTCATTGTTAAAGCTAATATCAGGATTAATGTTAGTAGTTGTCACTACATGTTAGCAGCAGGTTGCAAGAAAACATCTCTGTTCCTCAGGGTCAGATAAATTGAGTACAAACATTTTACAGGCTGATAAAAAAAGTCCATTATTACCATTGACTCACTTGTAAAAGCACAGCTGAGAGTCACTTGATACTCCTATAAAACTCAACTGAGAGTCAGGTGACATTAAATAGATCATTAGCACAAAATAAAGCTTTAAAATGTGAGGAGAAGGCAATAAAATGTAATGTTGCTGAAGGATGGAGCTTACATCTCTGGTGGGGCAAAGTCTGGTTGGGACATCTGGTAGCCTCGCTTCACCATCTTGTAGAACCTGGAATCCACAGCGATGCTGGGGTAGGGGCTCTTGCCTAATGTAGGATATATATTTTATGCTGTTATTTAAGCGGACATATCGTGACAAATGTGTGTATGATATGTATAAATGTGTTTGAACCTAAAGAGAAGATCTCCCATAGGAGGATGCCATAGGACCAGACGTCACTCTGGATGGTGTAAACACACTCAAAGATACTCTCCGGAGCCATCCACTTCACTGGCAGACGGGCCTTCACACACAAAATGGAATAACACAAACAATATTTGTTGGATAATGAATTGGTTAAAATGAAGTTAATGTTTCAAATAATTTCTTTGAGGGCTTACATTGCCCTTCACGACGTAGTTGGAGTCATTCATTATGTCTCGTGCCAGGCCGAAGTCACAAATCTTGGCCACTCTGCGGTCGGTCAAGAGGACATTCCTGGCAGCTACGTCTCTGTGAATACACTGCACACACACACACAATCACAGACCCGCACACACAATTTAACACAGGGTATAGTCTCGCCTAATAAAAGAGAGTAAGACATCAAGGTCACTGAATGCCGTGTATTTAACGTCAATGAAGATGATCAAGCTATAACAAGTAATTTTGAAGAATGTAAGGGGAAACTCCCCACATAACCCCCACATGAAAGATTTCACACCCTTCACTCATCATAATCTACAAATAGCAATACATTTTCATGCAGATTAGGTCAACATTCTGTTTGTTGTCTGGGTAATCCCCACTTTCTAGGCAGCACATAGCCACTGCTGTAAATTGTTCCAGTAGTTATTTCTGTTTTTTTATATTTGCACATTAAAAACGTTGCAGTTCTTAAAATCACTCACGTTCTTGGCTGCCAGGAAGTCAAGTCCCTGAGCCACTTGAAAGGAAAACCTCAGCAAGTCATCAATGTCCAGAGGCCAGTCAGCAGTCTCCTCACATAAGGAGCCTGAGCACAAAATCAGGCAAAAAAACAAATGGTCATAAATAAACACACTCTTGCAATTGTTTTAAATAAAGCTGTATAATAACTGCACGCTGTAATTTCACCTCGAGATGATTCCACATTGGTTGGGTAGCTGGGTCTCATCTCCAAGTAGCTGCTTGAGGATGTACTGGAGATCCCACTGTCACTATTGGATGATGAAAAGAGAGAAACATTTAATTGTCTGCAGAAACAAATAGTTGACTGATGTTTTTTTTTTCTTACAGCGCATGTATGTTAAAGTACCTTCTTATGAACGGTTTCTGTGTGCCGATGTTCTTATAGTCATTTGAGTTCTCTGTGACGTCAGGGATGTTCATTACAAAGTTCACAAAGGTTTCTCCCTTCTGGCGCAGAAAGTTCAGGAGGTCACCAAGACTGCAGTACTCTGTGATCACAAGCACTGGTCCTGGTGAGGAAGAATATCATGTTACCAACTTTTCATAGACGTGAACTTTTTTTAAACCAAGTACGCACATAGTCCATGACCTGAAATGAGCTGTCACAAACAAAACAATAGTTTGACTTTATCGTACATGATACAGAACAGAGGATGCTGTCTGACCTCCATAGGTGCAGGCTCCCAGCAGATTGACAATGTTCTTATGGTGTCCAAGGTGGCTCAGGATCTTCAGTTCGGACATAAGAGCCTCCCTCTCGTCGGAATGGGCGCTCGCTGCAGGAACACAAAATGCAGATTGTCATCATTTTATCATTCTGTCTGATTATGTGAAATAGTGTTTTAGGATGTCACTATAGGGCAGCTTCAATATCTTAATCAGATACATTTTTCACCAAATCTAGAACATTTTCAGATTGGCTTGTCATTCTGATTTGTTCATGTCAACAAGGATCCTTCTGTTAAAGCTAAGGTCTCACCTTTTAACATTTTCACTGCTACACGCATCACGTTGTCCCCCTCTCCGAGACCATATGCTGTGGCCTCAACAACCTTTCCAAAAGCTCCTGCCCCAAGGATCTTTCCTGGTGGGAAAAAAATGCATTTTGAGTATAACAAGTCTGTTAGTGATAGTCAGACCTTTTTTTTTTAATCCTTTTTCTTATTCTATTATGTTTATACTCACTTTTCTTTAACGCCTGAGTAGAAAATCACCACAACTGACTTTAAAATGAGAGCAATATAGTAACTTTAGGATAAAATGATGCTAACCTAGCTTCAGCTTGTCTCTTGGGAACTCCCA